AGTATTCAGGCCAGAGTTAAGGTCAGTCTGCCCTTCCTCATTTCATCCTCCTTAGTTTATCCTCCTTAAGCAATGGTCGCCCAAGATGTTTCCTGTTATTGAATTTGATAGGACTTCGTGACCTTCTGCAAACTCATGAAATCTGCAATACTCAGAAACAGAATTGTTTAAGTGCACATATTGATACATTGATTATAATTAGATTAAGTAACAAAAGTGAATATTACATTACCATTACATACACAGTGAGATTAATATAAATGTTGAATCCATCACTTAGTAAAACAAACTAAAGAGTGCTCCCCCCTTTGTTGATTCATGGATAGTCTCCCGAGGGTCCTCCGTCTGGCACTCGAACAAAACAAAAAAGAACAAGTCTAAGTAAATAATTCAGACTTACACTAAAGTGTATGCACTCAAATTAGAATATAAGTCTGAATAAAGGAATTAAATTATGTGCTCAACTTAATGTAAATAAAATAATAGTAACACTGTGGAGTGGTGGCAGAGGTCTCTTGTCCCTTTGACAACCATGATTTATTCGGAGGACACTTGTTCCCAGCAGCACTGCACCGAGGCAAAATGGTATCTAATTAAATGTGCTTTTATTCAGTACTATCTGTTTCCTCATTATTATTGACTTTAGCATATTAATATGCAAATCCAGTGTCTTTTGTTTTTCAGAGAGGAGATAACGAGGCTTTTGAAGACACAAAAGTCAAATGCTAATTTAGAGCGCGTTTATTCTATCTTTCCCTAATGAGTTATGGTCTTTTTGGGATTACTCTGAATCATTTTCAAACATTTGTCACCACAGCTTGAGGTGGGGAATATACTGAAAAATGGATAATATTGTAATTGTTGTTTGGGGGATTTGCAAAAGCATTAATAATCATGCCTTCACTTGTAATCCGCTTTACAGGCTTGTCAAAGCCACTCAAAACACTACACTGTCATTATTCATTCACTCCACACTCAGTGGTGGTAAAATACTACTAAAGCCACAGCTGCCCTGGGTCAGACTGACAGAAGCGAGGCTGACAATATGTGCCATCGCTTCCTCTGACCAGCACCAACACTCACACAATCTTCACATTCTTACTTGGTTAGGTGTGTGGTCTCCTGCCTGAGGACACAACAACAGAACTTAATTTGAGTGGGAATCAGTCCTCCAAGCTTGAGCAACTGTTGCCAATTATATTATCCATTTTAGAAAAACTGAAAAACAGCTAAATAAAAAGCAGCACTTTTGTAGTTCATTTTACAGTCCACTTACTTTTTGTGAAATACTTGAACCTCAGCCATAACACAGAAGTATGTTTTAGCATTTTCCTTTCAACGGACAACAGATAATGAAACCACACTTTGAAGTAATGATGTTCTTTCTTTCGAGATGTGGAGCGGTCAGATTCACCGACCCAGGAGTTGGCAGTATGATTCCAGCTCCCTGTTGTTGTGTCCTTGGGCAAGACACTTAACCCGCCTCTCCTCCGGTGTCTGTGTACACCGGTGTATGAATGTGTGTGTGAATGGGTGAGTGGTTGCTTGTTGAAAAGAGTTTTGAGTGCCTTGAAGGTGGAAAAGCGCTGTATAAAAATGTGACCATTAATGAATTTCCGTAATATCATCTAAATATTGACACTAGGATAATTAAACAGTTGAGAGGTTTGTTTTTGTCGGCAGTTGCTCTGTTTTGTTTATCAGCTGCTAGACTTCATTTAACTACAGCAAATACAAATACATGAAAATCACCCATGCGTTATAGATATTAATTTCAGCCACATTTTTGCACTTGACTTGGCCGAGCGTTTTTGTGAAGTGGATACAGAGCGTGTGCAGGTGTGTGTGTGTGTATACTGTGGACCACCGGCTCCAAGCTTGTTGATGATAATTGGCTGTAATCTGCCCACATGAAGTAGCTTGGTGCCAAAATTGCATGTGTAATTAAGAGGCGCTGATAGAAGAGCTATTGAAAGTGACTGGAGTAATCGTCTGGATCTCACAAGAGCTCTGAAGTAGGACTGTACTGAATGAGAGGGAGAATATGGGCCTGTGCCTTTTCTTATTTAAAGGGCCCGTGTTACGCTATTTTCTGTTATAATGTTGTGTACTCATGACAGACATACCTGGAGTTGTGTTTTTGTTTCATTCACACATGTTTAAGTTATGAACCTGCATATTTAGGCTGAATTCTTCAAACAGAAAACTCTCTGTTCTAACTTATAATGTGATGTGGTCATACAGGAAGTGCTCTCTTGTGGTTTTAAACTCTATACACCTTCAGTCTCTAGCTCTGTCCACACTAGTACGTATTCGAATCGTTTTTGTTGCGGATGCGGTGTTCGTCCACACTAATCCGATTGAAAACGGCTCCAGTGACGGAACGATCTGGTGCCACCAACTCCCACGAATTCATCTGAGTATGGATCTGATCCAGCACCGTGTGGACGCCTGAAAACTTTGATACGCTGATGTAGGTCTATGCACCGCGAAGTAGCTAATTCGCCGGCAAAACGCTAAGAGGCTAGCAAATATTCATATATAAGGTCTATGCGTACGACCTGCAGATGTATAATCTCTGAAAAGTTTAACATGAACCATCTCCAACACGATAGAAACACAGAACAGACTCACCATCATCAGCACATCCTCTGTCACAGAAAGAACACTCATTCCACTGAGTCGTGTCCTTTAGTCTGACAGAAGCTGAACCACATCAGTGCACGATATCGAGCTGTTTTTTGAGCTCTTAGTTTATGCAAATTAGCCATGTGGTTTTAAGTTTTGTTTCTGTAAAATGTAAACACATATGTTCAAAGCTGTGTGGATAAGGAAGGATTGCAGACATAGAAATTACGTGTGTGGACGCAGATTGCTTCCGATACGGTGATACGCAGATTCATTTCAGTGTAAACGGGGTCTCTAACTAAAAGTAGAAGGTAGTTGTTAACTTATAAACTACCGCGTCATGACATCACAAGGTGGAACAGAGCATTCTGAGCTTTGGATATATAGACAGACTAACAATAAAGGTTTACGCAAACGTGTGAATTTTGTGTAATACAGGGTGTTTAACTAAAATACATACTAGGAAAAAAAATACTGGAGGGTTCTCTAACTTGTTTGTCTCCATGGAGATGTCAGTACTTTGCACAGAATGTTATCAATTCATAAAACCCATCTCCATGTATTTATCTCCATGGAGACAAGTATGTGACACAACCAGGCCAAGTTACAGGTCAGATCCGCAGAGAGGTGCCCCTGCTCACTGTAAGAATGTGGGTTTTTCAAGGAGCAATAATAAATTGTCTTTGCAAACTGCTTATTTCAACCATTTGTGATTTCATTGTTATGCATCCTCAGTCCTGCAGCGCTCAGAGCAACCACTGACTCAGAATGAACGCATGTCTCTATCAGTTAGCCTCAAGGCAGCGGCGAATTCTGTTAGCGTCCCTCAAATTGTTAAAAAGCAATTCACGTATTTATCTTACCGGTCCTATATTACGCAAAATTGACTCTTGTGAGCTTTAAGCCATGTTAAAATGCTGTTATATTCTCAGAAACATACCTGGACTTGTATTTTGTTTCATTCACACGTGTTTGAATAATCCTTTATTATTAGTCTCTGAGTCTATATCTCCATGTAGTGGTAGTTTTCAAGTTAACAGCTACATTTTACCTTTAGTTCAATGGAGATGGGCAATTCCAGAGCTGATATCACCCAAATGATTCTAGTGAAGGTTCATGGAGCACTTCTGGTATTACCACATGACATCGCAAGGTGGAACAGTGTGTTTTCTGTTTGAGAGAAGAACAAAAACAAAGACAAAAAGACAAAATATGCAGTGTTGGTGTGTTAAAACATGTGTGAATGACACAAAACACAACTCTGAGTGTGTTTGTGATGAGGCAACAACATTATAACACAGATCTAGATCAGGAGTCCCCAACCTGTAGCTTGGGAGCTCTCCACCCTCTTCTAAGTAGCTTGTCCAGGGATTTCTGAATTACACATATTGAACTGAATAACTCAAATTTGTATTATTAACTGATGATTATTATTAATTTTGATTTCCTTTGTACATTTATAATTTTGATGCCTATTTTTGTGCAGTAATAACTGGATAATGGGTTATGTTTTATAGACATCTAAATGTACCTCATCTTCAGCTTACCATGGCTCTTATGTTTATGAAATTTCTGGCAACCGCTAAAATTAGTAGCTCTCTGGCATTTTCATTTTACGAAAAGTAGCTCACAGGATGAAAAAGGTTGGAGACCCCTGATCTAGATCATAGAATAGTGTAATATGGATCCTGTAATGTTCAGTTTTCTAATACTATAACTCTTTTTTGACACATATGTTTATTAGAGGTGCACTGGGCAACTTTTATGGAGTGTCCGTCTCCATAGAGATGTTGCTTTGCTTGGAATGTTCCATGGTGTAACATTAAACACATCTCTAGCATTTATTCATTACATACATTTCTATTGCTCAAAAATACAACATTTTTTGATCTGTGAAAGAAGCAGGGTTTATAAGATTTATCTTCTTCCTGTTCCTTTTGTTCATGCAGCAAGGACAAGGCAAATAATGGTAGAAATATGTATTTATGTTAATTGTCAGATTTTGTTGTTGTTGTTGTTATTGTCTTTAAATTAATTCCAACAAAATAACAGCATGAGCAATAAAAAAAAAACAAAAACTATAATAAAAAATTATCTGTGAATATGGTTTCCTCTCCATAGTGGTCCTCCTTGAGAAAGATATACTATGTAGATACATTCTAGACAAAGAAATAACATCTCCATGGAGACAAGCAGGTGACAGGCCCTCTACCAGAAAAGTTGCGTAATGCACCTTTAAGTATTGGCAATAATGCAATACACACATTACCAAGGTCAAAATAAACAGACAGAAAGCCAATCAGCAACAAGACAAACTACAAGTATTTACATTCATTCATTCTATAACCTTTCCTTCCATGCGCCCCCTGCAGGTACTACAGCGCAACTATCCTGCAGATGTCAGGGGTGAGGGATGACCGACTGGCTATCTGGCTCGCTGGACTCACCACGCTCACCAACTTCCTGTTCACTCTGCTCGGCGTGTGGCTGGTGGAGAGGGTGGGACGGCGAAAACTCACTCTGGGCAGTATCATAGGTAAGAGATTTACAGTTTTAATAAGAAGAATCTCACACTGTGGTCATGACTCCATAGCCTTTATAAGAGTGAAGTTATAAAGTCAGGATTGTGTCACTGCTCCTTGGTGCTGTTATCATATCATGTTGTCATGATACTAAAATGTCAAACTCGATTTCCATAATAAGGATTAGACTCAATAACGATTCCAGTAATGATAATAAAAAACACTACCGTATTTTTTGGACTGTAAGTCACACTTTTTTCATCATTTGTGTGGTCCTATGACTTATACTCTGGTGCGACTTAAAATTTTCACACTGACAGCCGCGAGAGGGCCCTCTAGGTTTGTGTGTCAGTATCTGCTGCTCCTATTACTCCTGCACCACTGTCACTGTGCTCTAATGCGAATGTCTCCTGCAGAAAGAGACGCTATTCTGTCTGTATCATGTAAGTCAATCGCACCATTACTTCTGTACCACTGAATATTTAAAATCTAAACAACGAAAGACAACTGAAACCATCCTGTTGGGATTCAGAAAGGCCGGAATAATTCTAACTGGAACTGATGCTGAGTCTGACGACAACCACGCAGAAGAGGAAGAGGCGCTCTTTTTACCTTCGTAGGTCACAGAGTTGCTCAGAAGTGACACCGAGGATGAAGAATTCAATGGATTTAGTGATTTGGAGTGAGATGGAGAGTTTGGTAAACAAGTTCTCTTCTGTTGTTTATGCTATAGTTATCTGAAGTACTGTTCATATGTGACGTTAGCCTGTTGTTCTCTATTCTATTGTTTTATAACTTGACTTTCAAGATGAAATGTCGGTTCCTGGTCTCTGTATTTATAAAATTAATTTCCCCCAGAAAGTGCGACTTATACTCCGGAGTGACTTGTAGTTTGAAAAATATGGTATTTCTTCAGACATCTCTATGTAGGTTCCATAGTGGTGCAGCAGTGATCCACCATCTGATCATGTTGTTTGTTGGTTCTTTCGTTTTAACCTTTGCTAAAGCATCTCTAAGGATGTTTTATACAGGTGGCTAATAACATAAAGTATTTAGATGTTTGATCGCGAGCTAAATAAGTCTGATGCTGTTCCGCAGTTAAACAGAATCATGGACTAATTAACCAAAGATGGCAGTTAATGGCTAGAAACAGGTGTAGAGTCAGCTCTGTGCCAGTGAAGGACTTGGTTTAGAGAGAGTCCAGACTTTGGAGTAATTAGTTGTAATTGTGTTGCGTTAAGTGTTGTTAAACTGGGCTAAATGGTACTGAAGTGGTATGCATTCATTTGGTGTTCAAGATGAGTTTAATTTAAGTCTGTTGGGCCTTTATATGTTGATGACCCTTATTATTGAAAGGTTTAATAAGAGGCAATCCAAACTAATCTGTCAATATGATCAAATATATTTTAAAGGGCCCATATTACATTATTTTCTGATCTGTTAAAATGTTGTTTCCTCATCACAAACAGACCTGGAGTTGTGTTTTGTTTCATTCACACAGATCTTGCATATTTAGGCTGAGTTCTTCTCTCAAACAGAAAACACTTTGTTACACCTTGTGATGTCATGTGGTAATACTAGTACATGAAGTGCTCCACTGTGTTTTTAAACTCCATACACCTTCACTATAATCATTTGGATAATTTCAGCCCTGGAATTACCAATTTTTACTGAACTAAAGGTAAAAGGTACTTCATGACATTACAAAGTGGAACAGAGCATTTTAAGCTTTGGATAATTGTAAAGATTATTTACTCACATGAAACAAAACTCCAGGTATGGTTTTGCACTGCATTAAGTAACAGGATTATGACACGGTTTAAAGGTCACAAGAGTGAGTTTTGTGTAACATGGGCCCTTTTAACAGAAGTGAATGACAACAGTTATATCATGAACATGGCCTTGCAGTTCTAATACTTGACTAGACTGGTTCCTTGATCTCATTGTGACACTGTGAGCGCCGTGTCTTTCACTGACAAAAGCAGCAGACAGCCGCTGTTCACTGATACCTCTTTATCTCCTCCCACACATGCACACGTACACACACACAGTCTCTAGAGCCGCATCATTTTATATATTTTTTTAGCACTGGCATTTATTTAGAATATTATGGATTATTATTTTGTTTTAAGATCTGTTACTCAAGTTAGACTTTAATCTGATCTTTGTTTTAACATAATCTGACCATAAAGGAATTACTTAGTTTATTTTCATTTTATTTTTGCTGTAAAAACAAGACCACAAACGCTTGTACTGATGACAGAATCAGACAATATTAAAACTTTTTTGTGTGCATAGACTCACCATGGTAACTGATGAACATTCCATCATAGAGATACATGTAGAACACTTGATGTCACTGCAAAGTATCAATATAAATATCATTGTTTTGCCTGGGAGGTTCCACAGTATAGCATTAATCTAGCATTTATTTCCTTACATACTTTCATTGCTCAAAAATACCTTAAACTGGAGCTACCTGCTCAGTTCAGCTGTTAAAAATATGATTTAATTTTTGTTTTATTTCTATCAGGTACCTGTCTGAGCCTGAGTCTGTTGGCGATCGGCTTCCTCCTGTCAGCACAGCACAGTCCTCCAGTCACTTTCCACCCTCTGGACCCGGCCATGGCCAACTCCACCTGCAACAAGTACCAGTGAGTAAGAAAAGAAAGTCTGTTGCATCTGTGTTGTGTGGGTTTAATGACTTTAGTCTAATCGTAATCTGATCTCTGCTATTTTGGTGATATTGTCATTGTTGATTCATGCCTTGCTTAATGAAACCACTCTTTGCAGCAACTGTGAAAAGAAATGTTTAACTTGCAGAGTTTTGCTGAAATAAAATTGAGCTTCATGTCAGTTTTTGTTTTGTGAGAGATGGACAGTCAAGTGCTGACTACTATAATTAGGTTTATCATAATTTTATAACAAGTCAAAAGTCAGTAAGAAAGCAGGATGTGCACACTACGACTAAACCAGTTGGACAAAACACCTGAACATTCTCTTCCTAAACTCCAGCACCAGCAGCCAATCCTTACTCAGTGCTAGTGCAGCCTCTGCAGCTCAGTGAGGGAACTCTGGAGGTTCTGAGCTTTCACATGACTTGTGAACCTGTCACCGTAACACATTTTGAAGTACAATATATGGATGAAGAAAATATAGACAGTAAATTATAATATAACTAATTAATGCCACTGACACAATAACCCAAGAGCAGATTTAAAGCACAAAAACTATTCTAAATGTACAATATTGTTTAAGAAAAATCATGAGCTACAATAAGTATATAGCCAAATGAAACACTTAAGTATTTAGTTTGCATCATAGAAGTTATTAATTCAACATTTTAAAGCTCAAATCTTATCGTATAGCCAAAATTTCACATTAAAGCAAATAAATTCTACACACAATAAACAATGACTCCCCAAAAAAAGCATTTGTTGAATGAAAAATCCATAAGTATCGTGACAAGCCTAACACTTGTCCATACACTGAGAATGAGAAAAACTTGTATGTGTCCTATTTGCAGGTTTAAGGACTGATAACTCAGGTTCATTTGTGATTGTAGTTCCTTTTTAAAACAGCAGCACTGCACTATTCTTTTCAGTAAGGTGATAAAGTAAAGCTCTTAATTAGAGTTCATTTGTCAGGGTTAACAGGTCTTAAGCCTGATGTTCGCTGCATTAACTCTCTTCATCTCTGGAGTCTCAGTTTCATTCTTTTGCAAACAGCTCCAGCTCCTCTTCAGCTCCTCTCTGTTGGCATCCCATTAGAAAACAAAGCCTCACTCAGGCCCTCACACAGATCTCACTGTGTGCTTGTCCAATTTACTCTCACTTAGTAGAAAACAGGATGAGACCAGTGCTACCATGGTGGAATGTCCTCTAAACTACAAACTAATGGAGCCACGCTGCAGAGGGCAAACCCACAGACACACAGGGGCTTTTACAGGGCCCCTGTTTGTTCTCTGTATGTCTCTCACAATCTCATTACTGCTCATTTAGAAGAGATTCACTCAGAGCAGCGTGACTACTTCATGTCTAACACAGGACAATTACAAAGAGGTTTTTTTTTTGCCTTAATAAAGCTTGAACAAAGACTTAATTCATAACAAACTGTTTGTCAAGAATGATTCAGCCTTATTAAAGTAATACCCTAACCATAATTCCCAGCCCCAACCCTTTAGGTACTAAGCTTAATAACTGAGTCTTTCTTTGTGCTTTTTTGAGTCTGTATTTAGTGTAGTTATTATGAAGTGTTACCTTTTTGTTATTTATAGGTGCCAATTTTTGTTAAGATACACTTTATTAGCCTGATTCATCAGCCAGTTTCACTTTCGTGGAAACTATCTGACCTCGCAGCATTAGAATTCGCTGGCTTGACGGTAGCCGGGTACTTTTTTTAAATTGAAATGCTATTTGGTCGTGACATATGTAATGTGCCAAATCCCATAGGAAGAAGGACAATAATGTCTATCTCCTTGAAAAAAATCATCAAACATTCTCTTTGTTCCGGCTTTAGCTCCTCGATCTCTGGAATCATTGCCAACACAGAATGTATGTCTTCGTCTACATCCATCTCGACCGACTTTGTTTACTGTTGTGCTGTACCACAAAAGGGACCCAGACAGGAGCTTGAGTTTGATGTCATGGCTTCACAGCTCTTCACCGTCTACAATTTCTGGAGTTCTTGCAAACTGTCTAGTGTATTCCGATTTCTGACCTAGTTGCTGGAGAGAAATGAAACTGAGTGGAGGCACTAGGTGGCACCAGCCTGGCTAATACTTTATTGTCCCCATTGGGAAATTTGTCCTCTGCATTTGCTCCATCGTTGAATACTGCTGGGGCAACTGGTCAGAAGCCTTGGACAATGCAGTGCAGTCACATCTTAAGCTAGTCTTGGTCTGGACTACTTTAGCTGGAGGATTTTACCTATTGTTTTTGGGTTGATGGGGAAACCAAAGTGCAAAGAGGAAACCCATCCAGACACGGGGAGAAAAATGCACACTCCAGACGGCCAGAGAGGTCCAGAGAGGCTGGCAGTTGAACCTGGAAGCTTCTTGCTGTAAAATGTGAGGAAAAGCCACTCTTCTCCTCTCTCTGCTGCTTTGTATTTCAAAGGTTTAGTCTGAAAAATCAACTTCTATGCTATAATGATTTCCCTTCTTTGTTAGTTTACTTACAGTTACATTTTGAGTGGTTAAATAACTGCAAACCTTCTATTTTTATTGTTCTTTCTATCTGTACACTGCTTATTTTAGCCTCTGTGTTCTCTGGCTGTAATTATATCTAAGTGCCTCTGCCTCTGAGAAAGAAATCAGGTAAAAATAAAACTGTGAATCCAGCGCTTTTGAGCTTGTTTAAATAGACTCTTCATGGACTCCTCACACAGCACTCACGACCCTGATGGTCTGAGACTCACTCACATCTGCACGGCGGCTCTGTTAGTCACTGGTGGAAAGAGGGCGTTTGTAAACAGAAAAACACATGTCAAGTCTATATTTAATACAGCAGAATAAAGTGTTTATTTAGAGGCTTTGCACTGATTTATCTCCCATGTATCTTAATAAAATGTAAGATTGTCTTGTCTTGCATCAGTACAGATACTGTATATTGTATTCATGGGTTTCAGCTTCCTGTTTCTCCATTTCAGGGCCTGTTTACACGAGACAAAATATTTGATTGGCGTTTTGGGGCTTAAAAACGCAAAAATCTGAAACCACCCTCCAGAGTGGAAAAGTTGAATACGCTCCACTGTAGAGTTTCTGTCTACACTGCCCAAGACGCAAAACTCTGCTCAGATCTGCTCACGTCACGTCCGCGTTTACGTCACATACACACAGTACACAGAAACAAACATGTCGGATGGCATGTATACCCAATTGCATTCCACACACATTTGCATCACTGTATGCATGCAGATTTCCTCCCGAAAACACTTGTCTAAATGCGGAATAAAAAGTGAAGATGCAACGCCACTTTGCGTCTTCTGTTCAGACTGTCATCATATAAACGTAGCCTAAAAGGTATATTTTTTGTTTTAAATTGTTAAGCGCTATGGCAACGGTTCTTTATTTTCTGAAACACAGGTATAAGAAGCTCTTCTGGTCAAAATATGTCCACTGTGTGCTGTCTGCAGGAAGCACTTATAAACTCATTGAATAATTTCGGACCACTGTAAACCATTTGAAAGTAACAAAAAGTTTTTCGTGTTAGGCTATATAAAGCAGGGTAACATGGTTTAAAGATGCTGTTGGAAAAATGTAAAAAAAAATCTTTAAAATGATTGCTATAACAGAGTGTGGACCCTAATACAGTAAAGGTGGATTTGATTGATTCAATTTGAACCAATCTCTGTGACTTTTAGCACGGCCCCGCGGATTAATTGATTGTGAACAGTGAAATTATAGGTAATGACTGCTGTTCTCTCCTTTCCCACCTCCATACCTCCCTCTCTCTCCCTCTCTTCCTCCGTCACCTCTCGCTACACCCCTCCCCTCTCTATCATTCTTCTGTCATCTCTCTCCCTTCCAATTTTCTCTTCTTCTCCCTCTCTCTCCCTCCCTTGTCGTCCCCCCCTCCCTCCTCTTCCTCCCTCCTCTCCCTCTCTCCATAGGCTGTGTGAGCCGTGCATGCTGGACCCTGGCTGTGGTTTCTGTTATCGTGAGAATGGCTCTGCTCTGCTCACCTCCTCCTGCGTCCCAGTCAATAAGGCGTCCACGGAGCACGCGGCGTGGGGCAGGTGAGTCACTACACCAGCGGGGGGTAGCAGAGAGCAGCAGGAGGCAGCAGGGCGGGCTCCTTCTATCATCAGGAAGTGTTTCCAGTGAGAGCTGTAACAATAAAATAAATTTAAGTGTAAGAGGAGCTGTTGACGTCACAGCAATGGCAATTCAGCACAGTGTTTCTCAGTCTGCAGTTTGTCTTACACTGTGGTTTATTTTTCAGGGTTCCCGCTTTTTTTCACTGACAAAAGTTCTAAACTTTTCCATGACTTTTTCATGACCTAAAGTTAATTTTCCATGACTTTATGGAACCTTCATGTGTAGAACTGATCATACTTTTAGGGCTAAATAATAGTTTTTTAACATTCAAAATACTGTCAGTGCATTTATTTTTGTCTATTTTAAACAAAAGGTGCATACATTTGAAAATAATCATAATAGCCTAATGATAACTTAATAGAAAGCTGTACTTGCGTGAAAGAGATACAAAAATTCCATGACTTTTCCAAAACTTTCGTTGAATTTACAAAATTTCATAATTTTCCAGGCCTGGAAAATGACATTTTCAATTTCCATGACCCCGAACCTCGAGTATTTGTTTTAGAAATAAAATAGGATGAAATTTAAATCTTATGATGCACAAATTTAACTTGTTGGAGCAACAGCACTCAACATCTTATCACGTGAAAGAGTAAATTCTAAATATATTTATTTTTATATAATGTTTCCATAAATAATATTGTTAAAGCAGCAGTCATTGACCAAATCAGGCCACTGCACACTGTCTGCATCCAATTACAAACATTGCAAACCTGGAAAAGTTGACTTTATTGTTATGTTATGTTTTGAGACCATAGACTGTGCAAGTGGACATATCTAACTCGCTTGGGAACCCGTTTCCAAATAGATTGTGAACATGGGGGCACTTCCGGCTCCAATAACTCTGTTTCCAATTTACTTTACAAAGGAAAATTGTGGCCTCTCTCTTTAACTGCTGCTGTGAGACTTGCCATTCTAGTCTTAAAATGTTTGTATCAACCCGCTCTACGTGATCCGGGTGCCTTTATTTCACCATTTTGTCATTTAATAAATTCTTGGTATCTTCCTGATATGCAACTTGGCTCCACATTTGACCCATAATCGCTAACCGCCAGCCTCGGTGAGCTTCATTTGACTGGAGCTGAACACTATGGGTAACGTCACATTCCTTGAGTTTTTATAATGATATTCTTACCATCAGCAAAATGGTGTCCAAATCAGGAAAACAATAAAAAGCCATTTGACAGGAAATCATGAATACATAAGGACACATTCACACTGGTCCTGTTTAAGACCAGATTGGTCCTAAATTAAGTTCTAGTCCAGGTTAAATGTGCGTTGAGTAACTTTTCTGGTGGAGGGTCCGTCAAAGGCTTTTCACCATGGAGATGTTATTGCTTTGTCTGGAATGTTTCACAGTATGGCATTAAACCTTTCTATCTTCATGGAGACCAAACTAGACTAAATTACAGGTCAGATCCACTCACAGTCAGAATGCCTGTTTTTCTAGTTATTTATGAGCTGTAAAACAATCTGTGATTCAATAAATGTAAAGTAGAGCTGTGGCAAAAGGAGAAATTCAGTTTGTCAACTGGACAAAAGTTTATTTTATTCAAATAGGTTTCACAGCTCGTCCAAGCTGCTTCTTCAGTTCTACTGAAGAACTGAAGAACTGAAGAGGTGAAGAAGCAGCTTGGATGAGCTGCGAAACTTATTCGGCCAAATAAACTTTTGTCCAGTTGACAAATTGAATTTTGCCTTTTGCCATGGATTCTACCTGAACGACTGAGGGATTGTACGCTCATATAAAGTAGAAGTGCTTAATGTCATACTGTGGAATATTCCAGGCAGAGCAATGACATATCCATAGAAATCCAGAGAAAGAAGCAGGTAACAGACCCACAACAAAAAAGCCGCATAGTGTGCCTTTAAGTCTAGTCACAGTTTAGTCCCAAGTGTGATTGAACAGATAGACATAATTATAAAGGTGTAGGAATGTAACAGCATCCAAATCTCTCGTTACGATATTTTCATGATACACATTTCACGGTACAATATTTATTGCGATATTTTGTGGAGACACTTTTTCCTTTTAAAATTCCTTGACAAGACTATGGTTCTGTCATACTAAGAGATTAATAACAGTTCTTCATAGTTCTTCATGTGCACTTCATCTGCACTGAAATAGAGCAAAGGATCATGGTATATGTAGTTCTCTCTGGTTTTTAGCCTTTGCTGCACCATAACAATTAATTTAAGCAAAGAAACTTAGAGTTCAATACACTGTGATGGTCCACGATATTATTGTGAGACTTTTGACGATACAATATCACGCTATTTACATCCCTATTAAGATGGGGGTTTTTTTTTGTTTATTTGAGTCAATAAAAGTTTTCTGTGTTTTCTCTAGATGCTCAAATGTAAGCCAGAAGGACCACGCGTACTGGGCCTACAACTACTGCCCCACCTCGTACTCTTGGCTGGTTCTGTTGGGTCTGGTGCTGTACTTGGCTGCTTTTGCTCCTGGTAAAAACAAAACCAAACAAAACATTTATTGCAATCAGTACTGTCTGTCTACAAACTTGAATCTAAAATTACAATTCAGTTCAGTTCAATTCAAATAGTCCAGACCTTGGATGGAAAAGTCCTTCGTTACTGTTGCTAGGCTGAAAAAGCGTTATGTAAAGATAATTATAATAACTATAATTAAACATATTTGGAAAACCTGGCTATTCATTTAAAACATCTGGTGGCATAAACCCCCCATGCACCTTCACTAATGATATAGAACATTATGAAATATTTTTAGAAAGGTGATTTAAACTTGATCTTGAACCTTACAATTCAAGGCAGTCTAGTTTGGATCTCTTTCCTTATGGCAAATCTTTTTTACTGCAAGTCAAAATAGTCAAATTTTAATAAATACATTTTTGACCAGAAACTAAAAAGATCTGTATTACGCTATTTTCTAATCTATGTTTTAAAGTTGTTTCCTCATCAAAAACATACCTGGAGTTGTGTTTTGTTTCATTCACACATGTTCTTCTCTCAAACTAAAAACTCTATTCCTGTTTTTTAAACTTTATACAACTTGACGAGAAGAATTTGGATCATTTCAGCCCTGGAATTGCCAATCTCTACTAAACAAAAAAGTAAAAGTTCCAAGTTGGAACAGAGCATTTTCAGCTCTAATAAGACTAAGAATCAAAAACACAATTCCAGGTAAGTTTTTATGAGGTAAAAGCATTAAAACATGGCTCTCAAGCTCTCAAGAATCCATTCTGTGTAATATAGAACCTTTAAGAGATGCTTTTATAATCCGTTTGCTTTTGTTTGAATCTCAACAATCAGAGATCTATTGTTATGCAGCCACGAAAAAGAACAAATAAATACCTGTCTGAAAAGCCCATTGCCTCTCTGTACTTTCACAAAAAGTTTTGCTCTACTTTTACCATGACAACAGATTAACTTGGTACAACCTAGTTTAGTTTAGTTCATTTGTCCCATACACACACACACACAGCACTAAAGGCCTGTGTAGTGAAATTCTTATGTATCATACAGTAACATGAATACATTGAATATGTGTACTACAAAAATCTAAAAGTTAAAATGACTTGAATTAAAAACATATTATATTGATTTGAGTAAATTTCACATGAGAAGTTAAATTCTATCAATGGAACAAGTCTTTTTGTAGGTGAAATACGCCTAGTTACACTGAAGATAACTGTCACGGTTCATGTTTTGTAGTTGTAGTTTTTGCTTGTTTTGGTCTGTCTTTTTCCTGAAGTGTTGTGTGCCCTTGGTGTTTAATAATGACATTAGTCCTGTCTGCTTGTAGTTTTGAGTTTTACTTCCTGTCTCTTGATTGATTGCCCCGCCCTAATGTGTTACACCTGTATCTGTGTGCATATATACCCTGTGTTCTCCTCTGCCCTTTGTTGGTCCATTGTCTTTGTCAGTATCATGTCTGTTGTAGTTTCTATTTTTGGATTTTTCTGGATTTTGTTTCCTCTGGTTTTTGGTTTTGTTACATTAAACAACTGAAGTGCAGGCCTGCATTTTAGGTCCTCTCCTGTTTCTTCATGACAACAGGAAAAACAAGAACTCTTTGTACTTAAAGGTTCTATATTACATAAAATGAAATCTTGTGAGCTTCAGGCCATGTTACAATGCTGTTTCCTCATCAAAAACATACCCAGGTTTTTTTTCATTCGCCCATGTTTGAGTAATTCTGGATTATTAGTCTGTCTACACCTCCAAAGATCAAAATGCTCCGTTCCACCTTGTGATGTCATGTAGTGTTTAGCGAAGATTGACAATTCCAGGGCTGATATTATCCAAATTATCCTAGTGAAGGTGTATGGAGTTTTAAAAAAAAAAAGTGGAGCACTTCCTGTATTACCACATGACATCACAAGGTGGAACAGGGTGTTTTCAGTTTGAGAGAATAGCTCAACCTAAAGATTTTCATGCACGTTTGTGGGTTAAGCATGTATGAATGAAACAAAAAACACAACTCCAGCAATGATTTTGATGAGGAAACAACATTATAACATATATCCGACAATAGTGTAATGTGTTTAAAATAAGAAACTAAATTACTAAATATGTTGCTAGAATTAAGAAAAAAAGACTTCCAGTGGCAGATAATTTTACCTGTCAAGTGAAATCTTTTTAATTTGGTCTCAGGGAAGAAGCTGCTCCTCATCCTTTCACTTTTCCTGACCTTTTTTTCCATGGTGTCCAGGTATGGGCCCGATGCCGTGGACCATAAACTCAGAGATCTACCCTCTGTGGGCGAGGAGCACGGGTAACGCCTGTGCGGCCGGAGTCAACTGGACCTTCAACGTTCTGATGTCCCTCACGTTCCTGCACCTGGCCCAATATCTCACCTATTACGGTATGGATCAGGGGTTAGAGTTATTACTTGGTCTGGTTTAGTCTCCATGAAGATAAAAAGGTTAAATGCCATAATATGAAACATTCCAGACTCCATGGAGCAAATCTGTTATTGTTAATGCTTAAAAAAATCTTTAAAATGATTGTTATAACAGAGTGAGGACCCTAATACAATAAATGTGCATTTCATTGATTCAATGTGAACCAGTCTGTGTGACTTTTAGCACAGCCCCACGGAGTCATTGATTTTGTACAGTGAAATTATAAGTAATGACTGCTGTTCTCTCCCTTCCTACCTCTTTCCCTCTCTCCCTCTTTCTTCCACCATCTCTCCCTCCACTCTCCATCACTCTTCTACCATCTGTCACTCTGGCTTTCCTCTCTCCCTCTCCTTCCTCACCCTCCTGTTAAACTGCACTGAGACCTTTTGACTGAGACACAAAGGCCACTGAGAAGCGCAGTGTAAATGTTGCTGTAGCAAAACTTCATTTTCCACCGGATCAGTGAAGTATCTCTCTTTGTATAAAAGATTTAACCCATGTGACTAAAGAAAACCCAGTAAAATATTATACAATTTTAGATTTGTTATGGCTTATTGCTGTCTTTACTGACCTCACTCAAAAACTCATACTACATATTATTATGGACTGTTCCACAGCATAACATTAATTGTATCTATCTTGCATTTATTTATTGCTCAGATAAGTTTACTCCATGGAGACAAGCAGGCAGACCCTCCACCAAAAAGTTACATAGTAAACCTTTAAATATTATGCAAAATTGATTCCTGTGAGCTTTTAACTATGTTATAATGTTGTTACATCCTCAAAACCATATGTTGAGTTGTGTTTTCTTTTATTCACACATGTTTGAGTAATGCTGTACATCAGGGGTGTCAAACTCAAATTCACAGAGGGCCAAAATTAAAAACTGGAACTACTCTGCTGTACATTATTAGTCTGTTTATATCCCCAAAGCTCAGAATGCTCTGTTCCACTTTGTGATAACATGAAGCAGTAGTTTTCAAGTTAACAGCTACCATTTACTTTTTGTTCACTCATGTCTGGCAACTCCAGAGCTAAACAAAGGAGTCTAATGAAGGTTTATGGCAGGGGTGTCAAATTCAATTTCACAGAGGGCCAAAATTAAAAACTGGAACTAAGTCGTGGGCCAAACGAAATTATATAAAATTATAACTAAATTTTAAATAAATAATGTCTCTTGTCTATCTGTAGCTGGCAGACCAACTCTAATACATATTTGATATGATCTCAAGGTCCAAATATAATTATATTGTGGGCCAAATTTGGCCCCCAGGCCTGAGTTTGACATGTCTGGTTTACGGAGTTTAAAAACACAGAGCGCTTCGTGTATTACCACATCACACAGTGAAACAGAGTGTTTTTTATTTGAGAGAAGAACTCAGACTAAATATGTAGGATTTCTGTGTTAAACATGTGCAAATGAAACAAAACACAACTCCAGGTATTCCTGTAATGAGAAAACATTATAACATAGATCAGAAAATGGCATAATATGGGCCATTTAAACAGCAAAGGCGTCAGACCACTCATCAAACTCTTCAAACTCTAAACTTTATTTTAGAAGTTAAAGAACATGAGTCAATCCATGAAGTTACGTAATTTCCATCAGTCTCTCTGTGAGTCTTCCTCTTCATTCATGCTGTCCTCTCTTATACATCACCACAGACACAATCCAAGATCTGCGTCACTCCTCTGCGTCACATCTCTTACCTAATCCTGCTCCTTTGTCTAGCAGCTGGAATTCCCTCCAACAGGAAGCACATAAGCTCATATAGATCAGTCAATGGGACGTCCTGCTGGGTAATGATCACTATAAAACCAACTGCCAGTGGGAAGAAATCCATTTAGAGCTGTGATGATGTTATGGGTGGGCGATATTGACTAAAATTAATATCTCAATTTTTTTTAAGTGATATCCAGTGTCAGTAATGAAGCAATATTATGGCAATCCATCAGAAGTGTGCTGCAATGTGCTTAGGTCTGTCACAATAATTACTACATTGATTTACTGTTCAGTACATGAAAGATGGAACAATATTTTTGGGGCTGAGGCTGAAGAGGGACAAATATGTAACTATGACTAATCAGAGTGCTTCATTTGGTTTTGTATTGGGTTTACTGGGAATACACTGCTTTAAATGTATGTGATTTGTGTAAAGTAGTTTCAGTGAGACATTTTCTTTTATTATGATCAACTCTTCTCCATGGAGATGTTATTTTGACATAAATGAAGAAGAAAATTTTGAAGTCAATGAAATCTTTTAAAGCATAAAAAAAAATTCAAAACAATTTCAGTTAATAAAAATGCATTAGATTTTATTAAAAGGCATTATGTATATATATTAGGGGTCAAAGTTCTCACAATAATATCGTGGACCATCACAATATATCGAATTATAAGTCTCTTTGCTTAAATTAAGAGTTATGGTGCAGCAATAGCTTTAAAAAAAAAACAGGCCGAGGGAACTACATAGACCAAGATCCTTTGCACCATTTCAGTGTAGACTACATGAAGAAATAACAGTTCTAAGCACTTTTAAAGCTTAGTTCTTTGGATTAAGTCTTGTCAAGGCATTTTAAGAGGAAAAAGTAGCATATTAACTTTATTTTGTTAGCCTCCACAAAATATCGCAATAAATATCATACCATGAGATGTATATCATGAAAATATTGTACAGAGAGATTTGGATATTGTTACATTCCTAATTGTGAGCCTCCCTGTCATATTGTAAGCTTTTCCACAATATCGTAATAAATATCGTACCCTGAGGTTCATTCCGTGACGATATCATATCATGAGACTTGGATATCGTTACACCCCTACCATAAATATATTTTTAAAATGTCAAAAGTAAATGATGAAAATATTTTTAAGTAGTGTTCCATCTTTTCATCCACTCTGTCAGACATTTTCAAAAATCTCATTAAATCAATCTGTAATATTATCATCTAACTCTCTGAGGCAGGGGTGTCAAACTCATTTTGTTCCGGGGGCTGTATCCAACCTACTTTGATCCCAAAGGGGCCGGATCAGAAAACTCATGTCATATAAACCCCAAAAATAACAATAAGTTAAAATATTTGTGCAGAGAAACACAAATCTATTACAGAAATCTTTTTTAATTGATGAACTCTTTCTTATTATAATATTATAATATTATGAACAACCTGAAACTTTAAGAAAAATTCAATTTCGACACAATGTTTTAACATGAACTTGTTTGCAAACAGGAATAAGTCAATTTTTCTTGTAAAATTCTGCACTCGGCTCCACTTTTCTCATGTTGGACATTTTTCTGATGAGGGTGTCACGGTCAACAGTCAAAACGATCGTCCTTTAAGAGCGTTTGGAAAGAGACAAGTCTTCTTTTGTGCTGCTCTGGTGGGAGGGGCCACGTACAGAGACGCTGCTGTGATAAACACCACAGAAAATTATAAATATTTTAATAGAAATTATAATTAAAATATTTTAGTAGAACATCACCTAAGGGCCACATTAAAGGTCTTGGAGGGCCGGATCTGGCCCCCGGGCCTTATGTTTGACACCTGTGCTCTGAGGGCTCGATTTGTATATCCATGATTTTTTTAGGTTAATGAAAATTTGAAGAATTTGCCAGAAAAAAGTAACAGATATAAAAACAAATCTAATATAAACAAATTTAAATATATCCTTTGATTCAGGAAGAAGGTGTGGAATAGAAACACATAAAGCTGCTCTCTTAAATACTCTGACACGCTGATGGACTTCTTTATATTGTACAAGTAAGAACTGTAGTACCACCGCCGGCTCTTGTAATCACCGAGGTCAGGGTCCGTCTTATAATATAATTTTATTTTCACAGCACTTTCTGTTAAGTTGAAAGGTGCAGCTGTAGTTTGACACAGTGAAAATGGAGATCAGAGCGCTGAAGAAATCTCATTAAAGTTTGTCAGGTCTGAGACAGTTTTTGTGTCGTTGTAGCAGACGCCGCTAATCCTCATTTTTCAATACAGGGATTTGTCACTCAGAAATGTATTTAGCGTTTTATTATGTCATTGTTTTTAAAAAAAATATGTCATAAGTGTGAAGAAATGTGTCCAGCATGACAGACACTTTTGTTTAGATGACAAGAAATAATGCAGAAATGATATGAAAACATGATAAAAAACAAAACATGTAAATTAATGACCAAAAAATGAATGAACCAAAAATGTAATTGTCAGGCCATTGTCATTGATCTAGTTAGCCTGTGGTTGTTGTGATTTGGAGCAGACTTTGGACTTCAGAAGAATATATTTTCAACAAGCTTTTCAAAATTTTCTTACCATATTTTTCTACTCATAACTGCATCATTAAGAAGTTACGATACGTACCTCGACACATAGACCACAATACGACACATATCTCAATACAGTGCACTTTCGATTTGATAAGACATATTTCAAATCGATTCGATACGGTTGTTTGTTAGTGTTTGTTAAACCACTTCTTGTGCAAAGTGAATATGAAACACAAACATTTTAATTCTCAAAACAGTGAAAATGTCAAATGTGTTGCATAAATGAGTTTCCTTCCTCTAAACAAGCAACAGAACTGTAGCTTTAACAAAATAATTTAGTAAAATATACCAAAACATACTCAATATATCGATACATCAAACCACAATGTCGATACTTATTGTGATACAATTGCTATTTTGATATTTTTGTACACCCCTAGTAACACTATTGATTACAGCCTTAAGCATGGTTAAAGACCTACATTTACAAATAATGTATTAAGAATGATAAGGAAATGATGGCCAAGTTGTTTATGGTATGATTTTGTGTTTTGGTTGTCAAGACGATTATTCACAAAACAAAAAAAGATACGAGATAAGTGTCCTGAGCGCTTCAATTTTTGATCCACTCTGTTACTCGTTCGTTTATGTACCAGTAGTCTTTTCTCCTTTTTTTAATATGTAAGCAGTCATGTTTGTTTTTGACGGGTTAATACGTCAATCACACCCTTTGGAATCAGGAAGGCAGGACACAGCTCCAGATCCACTCGTCTTTGTAAAGTTTTGTCAAAGTGCTTGGTTCTGGTAGGACAAGTGGGTAATCCTGCTTTAAGGTTATTGTGTCAGTACCATAAATTGATTTAAATATTATCATTTATTGTCTATCTTTTCTTTATTTTCCCGCTATCACAGTTAACTTCTTCTTCCTTTTCACAGGAGCGTTTTTCCTGTACTCCTCTATGGCTCTGCTTGGTCTGATCTTCATCTTCGGCTGCCTCCCTGAAACCAAAGGACGTCGCCTGGAGGAGATCGAGGCCCTGTTTGAAAACCAGCTGTGCTCCTGCGGCGTTTCCGATTCTGACGAGGCCAGACAGGTGGAGTACATCCGAGTCAAGGGGTCAAACTACCACCTATCTGACAACGATGCCTCTGACGTGGACTAGGGACTGGGTTTTTGAGTACAAGACCTTTACGCAATGTTATTTTAGCTCACTTTCGATTCAGTCTATTTCAGGAAACCCAAACAGTGTCATTGTTTTAGCTGCACAAGAATGAATGTTGCTTTTAGCATATTAAAACCTGAATTGAGAGTGAGCTAATTCCTAAAGTGGATGTTTATTTAAAAAAGTATTGCACAAACAACAGTAAATGAAACTCCTGTAGTGTTTATGTAGTGGAAAAGGGACTGTTGAGCAAATACTGACTGGTTAGTGCTATATAGTCAGCTCCGGAGGGACGCTACTGATGATTCCACCTCTAACCTTAACTATGACCTGTGCTAAAATGAATCCTAACCACAGACTGTATATATAAATGGGCATAGCTAATCTGCAAGCTATCATGTTCCAAACAGGAAGTGAACATGGGCGTTTCCGGCTCCACTGACTCTGGCTCCAAGTCACTTCGTATAAAAAAGTGTCACCCCTCTCTATAAGTGCTGCTGTCAGGCTCGTCATTTTTGTCTTAAAATTTTCATATTATGGTATGGCTAAGTTTATATGATGACAGTCTGAATAGAAGATGAAAAAGTGTCATTGCGTCTTCACTTTTTATTCCTCGTTTACACAAGCATTTTCGAGAGGAAATCTGCATGCATACAGTGATGCAAATGTGTGTGGAATTCGATCGGGTATGCATGCCAGGTTTCTGTGTACTGTATGTATGTGACGTAAATGTGTATGCAACTTGAGGAGATTTTACCAGAGTTTTGCGTCTTGGGCAGTGTAGACGGAAATGCTACGGCGGAGTGTATTAAACTTTTCCACTCTGGAGGGTGGTTTCAGATTTTTGCGTTTTTAAGCCCCAAAAACACCGTCACCGTCTAAACGAAAGGCACTTCCAAGCAAGCGTTCTCATGTAAACAGGCCCTAACGCGCTATGCATGACCCTGGTGTTTTTATTTCTCTATTTTGTCTGTAAATCAAGATATGAACATTAATAATAGAGAAATTAGGCGCCTTCTCTCCCCGTGGTTGCTCCCACTAGTGTTAGAAACAGGTTTGATTGACGTAGCTGCTATGTTCCCACACAGCTGGATTTGCATGGAGAGAGCCCTTAGATTATTACTTTCAGAGTAGAGTATTCCCTTCACCAGTTTTGCTCTGGATTGGCTCGTTGGTTGCTATGAAACTCACAGTCGGAATTCCAATTATGAAACTTGGCATTAGGGGTGTGCAAAAATATTGAAATATCGATATAGCGTATCGTTGAATGTGATGATACAGTATCGATATTGTGGGTTGCTGTATCAATATATCGCCAAGAGTATTTTCTGGTATGTTTTACTAAATTATTTTGTTGCAGCGCTACAGTTTTGTTGTTTGTTTAGTGGAAGGAAACTCATTTCTGTGACACATTCGATATTTTCACTGTTTTGGTGATTAAAATGTTTGTGTTTCATATTAACTTTGCACAAGAAGTGGTTTAACAAAGACTTTTAGTATCACGGCCATGATTTAGCCTTTATTTTTTATTGAACTGTCTCGAATCAATTTTAAATATATCGTATTGAATCTTATCAAATTGTAAGATCACTGTATCGAGCTATGAATCGTATCATGGCTTATATATATATCGTATCGGCAACTTCTGCATGATACCAGCCCTTCTTGGCATCAAATTATATAACTGCCAGGAGTGTAAGAAAAAAATCAATTCGGTGATATATCGTGATACTTTTACTTTACAATTCTCGAATCGATTCAAAATGGATCTGAATCGATTTTTTAAATAATATTTTTCACAAAAATACATTAGTAACATTCACTGTTCTCATGATTTAAAAAATATATATATATTGTGTTCTCTTGAAGGTTTAGTTGACTGTATTATTAGAAGTAATTATTGATAAATCGCAATATATCATCCATTGTTTTAGTATCAGGATATATCGAATCCTGACATGCAAATCATGATATGTATCGTATCGTCTGACTCAAGGCAATGCACACCCCTAATAACTGCAAACCACACTGAGCTTCATTTGACTGCAATCGAACGCTATGGGTGACATCACAGTCCCTTCACAGTCCACTCCTTTAAACAATCTATGATCCTAAACTAGCTCCTAAACTTCATCACCTCAAATGGTCAATCACAGCAGACCGTCCCTCCGAAGCATACTATCTATAGCACTAACCTGACTGAATGTGTGAAATATAGACTTGCTCACTTTATCCCCCGGTTTTGTTCACAGCATCCTAGAATGAAATGACTTGAGATAGAGATGTAATTCTATGGCCAAGATTTTGAACCTTATTATGTGTTTGAAATGGTCAAAAGTCCTCGTGTGTGATTTAAACTGGTTACCTTCTGGTCTGTTGCTTTACAATATTACAGAAAAAGCAACAATATTTCACACATGCAGTATATGCTATTTACAAATAATGTTTACGTTTACAAAGTGTATTTTTATTTTGAAACGGTGTTAAAGATCTAAATGTGCGTCCATAAATCTTGTGGTAATCTAATTCTGGACTTGCTTCAGTTGCTTCAATTTAATTTGTGATGTTTACAATCCTACATCAATGTGATTTTAGTACTATGACATAAATACTATTAAGTCACAGTATGTAGTAACAATTATATTAATTTTCCTGACCCTACCTCCATGGACCACTTGTGTATCCTACCTTACAGTTAGAATCATTAAAGTGCACATGACAAGTTTTAAGCTTTTCCTAGTTATGACTTGAGGTGGTGTTATAGTAGCTGTAGTTGATATTTACCACAGTTTCACATCTGTTAAAGGGACAGGTTGGAATTTTGGACATAGGGCCTCATTTCCTAGTGAGCCAGAGTGTTGGAGACGTGTGGAGACACTTTTTAAAAATTCCATCCAGTCCTTGTATTTGCAGAGGTCACTGGTGCTAGGCTAGTGCATGTCAATGGCCATAGTTAGCCGGCCACTAAAAACAGTCTTACCCACTCCACAAAACACCCAAAGCTAAACAGTTATTATGCCAGACTGTTGATGTGAATGTTTGTGTCGATAGAATCATTTTAGAAGTACAACCCACTTTGCATTTGAAGGATTTATGTCTGAGCGAGTTGTACTTTCTGATAGAAAGGTTGGCAGTGGTGGACTGATATGTGAGAAAATAGTCCCTCAACATGCGATGATTCATGCGATGCAAGGTTAGTTTTATTTCAAACATTATTCTATCAACACAGACATTTACATCGACAGTCTGGTGTAATAACAGATTTGCTTCGGGTGTTTTGTGGAGTGAGTAAGACAGTTTTTAGTGGCAGGATAACCATGGCCATTGACATGCACTAGCCTAGCACCAGCGACCTCTGCAAATACAAGGACTGGATGGATGATTTTAAAAAGTGTCTTCACACGTCTCCAACACTCTGGCTCACTAGGAAATGAGGTCCTATGTCCAAAATTCTGAACTGTCCCTTTAAGTGTCAGTTTGTGGGGGGGATTACCTCTATGTTTGTCATATCTCCTGCAATATGCAAGCAATATGGTAAACTTAACCAAAAAACAAAAGAAAATCTAGGCACAAAATCTTAAAGGGCTCATATTACGCTTTTTTCTGATCTATATTATCATGTTGTTTCTTCATCACAAACAGACCTGGAGTTGTGTTTTGTTTCATACACACGTTTCACACACAAACCCTGTATATTTAGGCTGAATTGTACAGGAAGTACTCCACTGTGTTTTTAAACTCCATACACTTTCACTAGAAGATTATGTCAGCCCTGGAATTACCCGTCTCCACTGAACAAATGATAAAAGGTAACTGTGAACATAAAAACTACAGCTTCATGATGTCACAAGGTGGAACAGACCATTTTGAGCTTTGGAGATGCAAACAGACTCATAATAAAGAGTTACTCAAACATCTGTGAATGAAACAAAGTTTGATGAAGTTACAACATTCATTGCTAAAAGCTCACAAGAATCAATTTTGTGTACATATAATGTCATTAAATATGTTTTAGTGGAAAAGTACTCTAACCTGTCATGTGCACTCTAAAGGGACAGTCTGGAATTTTGGACATAGGACCTCATTTCCTAGTGAGCCAGAGTGTTGGAGACGTGTGGAGACACTTTTTAAAAATTCCATCCAGTCCTTGTATTTGCAGAGGTCACTGGTGCTAGGCTAGTGCATGTCAATGGCCATAGTTAGCCGGCCACTAAAAACAGTCTTACCCACTCCACAAAACACCCAAAGCTAAACAGTTATTATGCCAGACTGTTGATGTGAATGTTTGTGTCGATAGAATCATTTTAGAAGTACAACCCACTTTGCATTTGAAGGATTTATGTCTGAGCGAGTTGTACTTTCTGATAGAAAGGTTGGCAGTGGTGGACTGATATGTGAGAAAATAGTCCCTCAACATGCGATGATTCATGCGATGCAAGGTTAGTTTTATTTCAAACATTATTCTATCAACACAGACATTCACATCGACAGTCTGGTGTAATAATAGATTTGCTTCAGGTGTTTTGTGGAGTGGGTAAGACTGTTTTTAGTGGCAGGATAACTATGGCCATTGACATGCACTAGCCTAGCACCAGCGACCTCTGCAAATACAAGGACTGGATGGATGATTTTAAAAAGTGTCTTCACACGTCTCCAACACTCTGGCTAACTAGAAAATGAGGTCCTATGTCCAAAATTCTGAACTGTCCCTTTAAGTGTCAGTTTGTGGGGGGGATTACCTCTATGTTTGTCATATCTCCTGCAATATGCAAGCAATATGGTAAACTTAACCAAAAAACAAAAGAAAATCTAGGCACAAAATCTTAAAGGGCTCATATTACGCTTTTTTCTGATCTATATTATCATGTTGTTTCTTCATCACAAACAGACCTGGAGTTGTGTTTTGTTTCATACACGTTTCACACACAAACCCTGTATATTTAGGCTGAATTGTACAGGAAGTACTCCACTGTGTTTTTAAACTCCATACACTTTCACTA